GTAAAGTAGATCTATGATGAATAAATAGAATAAAAGACTGTGTAGCCTACTGCAGCATCGGTTATTCATAGTGAACCTTTCCTACAGTTCCTACTGACCCACATTTGTTTAGACATAAGATTTCAGCAAAGAAAGGATGCATTTTTTCCCCACATGCGTGGGCCTGTACATTGTATTTTTGCCTCTGGTTAAAAAAGAAGAAAAAAAGAGCTTATGTTGTAACTTGTTTGAGCCCACAGATGGAAAGGTGAGAATGTGGCCACAACTGAGGTGTCTGACATTCTGACGATCAGCGAGTGTCTCAAAGAAGCCAATGTTTACGGAGTCCAAGTGCCAGGTGATGGTTATTCCCCCAACATCTTTTTTACAGTGATTTTTTTGTAACGATTTACTGTTATTTTAGAGATTTTTCCTGTGTTGTTTAGTAATGGATAGTAAATAGTAAAATCACAGAAAAGAAGTGTTGATTTTCATCTTAAACCCCTCTCAATAAAATGTAAATAAAAAAGGAAATAATGTCCACATCAAATTAATTGGTAATTGCTTCCATTATTCCATATTTTTAGATTTATAGATATTTTTTATTTAAAAGAAAAAATATGTGTATCAAGGATTGAAACTCGTAGCTTATTTTAAGCTAATATTTTACAAAATAAATAATTAATTTAAATGTTGACTTTTTTTAAAGAACAAAAGTGTAAACAATGTCGACATTAAAAATATGTATTTTTACAAGTAGTTGTTCATTCTTTTACAATGTGTGGTGTTTGTCATTACCTCACAGTGTTTACAGTTTTTTGAATATTACAGCATTACATCATTTAAAAAAAACATTTCTGGAACCCCTGCTGCCAGATTTTTTGTGTTTTTAATGTGTTTTTTTACATTTCACATTTGACTTTACACTGTTTGAGAAAATGATAACTTCTAAATGGCAAAACAGTTGAAGAGAGAGTTTTTGATTTAGGGACTTTGTTTCTGTTTTGTCTGGCAATGCAGGGCATGAGGGCCGGATCGGGATGGCAGCTGTCACTGTGAAGAAAGATGCTCAGTTTGATGGAAGCAAAATATATAATCATGTTGTCAGCTACCTGCCCTCATACGCACGGCCTCGCTTTATAAGGATACAGGTAATTTAATTTTTGAACTATAGTTAAATATTTGAAAATTAAACACTGTTTTATCCCCATTAAATGAAGAGGCTGTGATCTGTGATTCGAACCATGTAGTCTATGCAGGCTGATTTAAGTGTTTGTCTGTTTTAACTTAGAGACTACTTCCAAATATCCTTTTTTCTTATTGCATTAGTAATAATGTTGCTACCATTGCCTTATTATCTCAGTACACTAGTGTCATTGTTCATTTTGGTTTTTGTTTTGTGTGTGATTTTCTTCTGTTCAGAATGCAGTGGAAGTGACGGGAACGTTCAAGCAGATGAAAGTGAAACTAGTGGAGGAGAGTTTTGATCCAGGACGTATCCAGGACCCTCTTTACATCCTCGATGATACCGTGAAGGGCTACATACCGCTGACAGCTCAGGTCTACAGCTCCATCATGTCAGGAAACAGCAAACTATGAGCAGACTCCGAGTGTCCGCTGACATTTCAGTCTGGCTTCTTTTAACCCTCTGAACTTCAAAAGCCTGCCAGCGGGTTTGAAAGGCGTGTTGTCTTTAAAGAATCACCAAAATTACCATTTATCAGAGCCAGTGACTTTAAAAACAGGAAGGGTCGTCTTATTTTTCACTTTCCAGTGGTCCTTGAACTACTCACCTGTAAACGTCACCTAATCTTAACTTCAATTGTGATATTTAATCAGAATCATTTTCAGATTTGTCCAAAACAAAGCGTTCGTACAAACTACATTATGTAAAATTACAAAGAGTCTCCTTGATGCAACCGTGAAGCAGTTTGTTACTCAGCTGCAACCAACTATCACATGGCAAAAATTGTGGGACGTTTTAGCTGAACTGCAGGCTGTATTTCCACAGAACAGATAAGAGATGAGTAAAAATATTTAGCAAGTTAACAAGCTAAAAATGTAAATAGTAAGATATCTGAAGTATGTAGAGTCCAATTTGTTTTTTTCCCCCTAGCATTGATGACACCTGGGCACACCTGGAAAATGTTTTACATCTTGATTTAAGTATTTTTTTTAAAAAAAAAAAAAAAAAACTTATCCTAGAAATTTTGTTGTTTTTTTATTTTTGGGTGATTCACTTCTAGTCATGGTTGTGCTGTTCCCATAGAGTTGCAGGACTTTCTATTGCAGAGAAAAATCAGCCTGCATCAAGTAAAAATATGATAGGAACAAAAAAAAAAAAAAAGCCCTAAAACTACTTGATGTTCAGAGGGTTAATGATAAACTTCCAGCTCAGGGACAGAACAGTTTATTTTTTAAATGATCATGGCATGTATTGTGTAGTATTTTTTTCGTAACAGTACCTGGGAATCAATGTAGGATTGACTGGAGTCAACCTGCAAGAGCCAAGTCATCGTAATTATAAGTGCTTCCCGGAAGAGGAGAGGGTTAATCATACAAAAAATACATTTGTTGGCAAGTGATGAACATGATGACTGCTGCTTGTACTTTGCTAAGTACAATATGGGTGGTGGGGAGATGATCATTGAAGCAAAGACACAGCATGAATAAGTTGTTGTTTAGTAAGTACGATCAGGCAGTTGGGCTTTGTTTTACAGGTACTATTTAATATACTTAAAGAATTACTAGCTTTTAGTAAAGATGTGCATAGCATGTGATAGTTTGAGACTTACAAAAAAAGGTATATGTATATTTTATATATATATGCCACACACAGTGGCATGCAAAAGTTTGGGCACCCCTGGTCAAAATTTCTGTTAATGTGAACAATTAAAGGCATAAAGTTAAAAATGAAACACTCTTTTCAATATATCAAGCAATAGTAATGTATTGTTTTTGTTTTGTACAATTTCTGAGTGAAAAAATAAAAGCAGCACCCTGCAGAAGAATGGGAACCCCAGGAGAACCTTGACCAAGGTGTCAGACCTTACTCAGCCTGATAGGGTCATGGCTTGTTCACAGTCATCGTTAGGAAAGACCAGGAGATACAATTTTCAAAGCTTTATAAATACCTAGACTCCTCTAACCTTAGGTTCCTCTCAGCAGTTGCCCAGAACTCGGAAACGGAAAATGGTTGAAGCCCACAAAGCAGGAGAAGACTATAAAATGATAACAAAGCGTGTTCAGGTACCGATTTCCTCAGTTAGGAATGTGATTAAGAAATGGCAGTTAACAGTAACGGTGGAGGTCAAGAGGAGATCTGGAAGACCAAGACTATCAGAGAAAACTGCTCGTAGGGTTGCAAGGAAAGCAAGTCAGAACCCCCGTTTGACTACACGAGACCTTCAGGAAGATTTGGCAGACACTGGAGTTGTGGTACACTGTTCAACTGTTCAGGGACACCTGCACAAATACGGTCTTCATGGAAGAGCCATCAGAAGAAAACTTCTCCTGCGCCCTCACCACAAAAGAACATTTAGACAAGCCTGATGGATTTTGGAAACAAGTTCTGTGGACCTATGAGGTAAAACAGAACTCTGTGGCCGGAATGAGCAAAGGTATGTTTGGAGAACAAAGGGCACAGAATTTCATGAACAGAACACCAGTCCAGCTGTTAAGCATGGGGGTGGATGGATCATGCTATGGGGTTGTATTGCAGCCAGTGGGGATCATTTTTACCATTTCATGGGGAACATTTTACAGGCAGAGGGCAGAATGGATTCAATTAAATTCCAACAAATTCCGGAAGCAAACATAACACCATCTGTAAAAAAAGCTGAAGTTGAAAAGAGGATGACTTCTACAAATGGATAACGATCCTAAACACACCTTAAAATCCACAATGGTCTACCTCAAGAGGTGCAGGCTGAAAGTTTTGCCTTACCCTCATAGTCTTGACCTAAACATCACTGAAAATCTGTGGATAGACCTCAAAAGAGCAGTGCGCACAAGATGGCCCAGGAATCTAACAGAACTGGAAGACTTTTGTAAGGAAGAATGGGTGAAAACCCTTCAAACAAGAATTGAAAGACTCTTGGCTGGCTACAAAAAGCGTTTAAAAGCTGTGATACTTGTCAAAGGGGGTTCTACTAGGTATTAATTATGGTCCTTTTTCCTATTTTGTTTTGAAAAAGTATAAGATGAAAATAAAAAATGATTTTGGTAAAAATGTAAAGGGAATGTGTGCGTCTGTAACTTCATTCCTTTTGGAGATCATTTCATCTTCCACTTGCTTCATTGTTTACATTAACAGGAATGTTGTACTTATGTGCCAGCATCTGTAAATATACAGTTGTACACTTTGTTAAAAATAAAGTAGTTCTTACTGTAAAAGCAGAAACAGTTTTTATGTGTACGTCTTCTCTGATTTATAGTCGTGCAAAGATGTAATAGACATGAAGAGGACACAAGGTGGAGACAAATATTCATGCTGCCAGAGCCTCTGCCCTTAGTGGAGTCGAACTATAGAGAACCATATGCACACCACTGACAAAAACTAACTCTGACATCAAGAAACTACACCCATGTCATCCAAAATGTGTTAATCTGATGATATAAAAGCCTCCACTGTCCCTGGGAATATTTTACACAAAATCGTTCAAAAATTTGCAGCTGGGATTTGATCACATTCGACCAGAAGAGCGTTATAGGTCCAACGCTGATATTAAGCAATGTGTTCAGTGTTCCAGTTTGTCCTAAAAGGTAAACTAAGGTGTAATGAAGGTACTCAAACCCTTACAGACAGCAGGACTCTGCATACCTGCAGGTTCTTGTGTTTGATTGTGTACTGACCAATTAAAGAGCGATAAAATGAAATCAAAGTTATCGTACCACAATCAGCAGGATTTGTAGAAAGAGCAAATCAAACAATAAAAAGCTCAGTTTTCTGCTCTATTAAAAACTTAAAAAAGAAGAATCTAACAAAATATTGATAATAATAATAAAAATGAGACGGTACCAGTATTGTCACCCTCTCCTGATTCATGGAAGAGCTGCAGGTCTCTTTGTTCAGTTTCTGTGGGGAAGTCCGAGTTACAAAGGAGTCACACTCTCAAACTCAGGGAAGAATCCAACCGAACAGGAAGAAGCCATAAGCATAAGACATGGATGTACCGAGGCCCGTGTGTGATCTAATTACACGCAGTATCAGTGCTCCAAAACAAGAAAAACAACATCGGGAAAAGAAAGCTTCAAGACAAAACAGTGAAGGTCTTTATGCTTGACTTGAGGTTAAACCTGTCCTCCCGAAAGCCCTGTACAGACACGCGGCAATATTGAGTCATGGGCCCTGCCATGTCTCAACAGGGGGGATGGTAAGACTAGTGAAGGAAACACCAAAGTTTGGTGACATGGTGTGTACCACACTAAACATGGACCAGAGGAAGCCAAGGAGAGAGTTGTCTCAGGAGATTAGAAAGAAAATTATATACAAACATGTTAAAGGTAAAGGCTATAAGACCATCTCCAAGCAGCTTGATGTTCCTGTGACTACAGTTGCACATATTATTCAGAAGTTTAAGGTCCATGGGACTGTAGCCAACCTCCCTGGACGTGGCCACAGGAGGAAAACTGATGACAAATTGAAGAGACGGATAATACGACTGGTAACAAAAGATTCCAGAACGACCTCTAAAGACATTAAAGGTGAACTCCAAGGTCAACGTACATCAGTGTCAGATCGCACCATCCGTTGTTGTTTGAGGCAAAGTGGACTTCATGGGAGACGACCAAGGAGGACGCCACTGTTGAAAACAAATGATAAAAAAGCTAGACTGGAATTTGCCAAACTGCATGTTGACAAGCCACAAAGCTTCTGGGAGAATGTCCTCTGGACAGACGAGACAAAACTGGAACTTTTTGGTAAGGCACATCAGCTCCATGTTCACAGACGCACACATGAAGCATATGAAGAACAGAACACTGTCCCTACTGTGGAACATGGAGGAGGCTCTGTTATGTTCTGGGGCTGCTTTGCTGCATCTGACACAGGGTGTCTTGAATCTGTGCAGAGTACAATGAAATCTCAAGATTATCAATGTATTCTAGAGAGAAATGTGCTGCCGAGTGTCAGAGAACTTGGTCTGAGTCACAGGTCATGGGTCTTGCAACAGGATAATGACCCAAAACACACTAAAAACATCCAAGAATGACTCAGAGGAAAACATTGGACTATTCTGAAGTGGCCTTCCATGAGCCCTGATCTAAATCCTATTGAACATCTGTGGAAGGAGCTGAAACATGTTATCTGGAGAAGGCACCCTTCAAACCTGAGACAACTGGAGCAGTCTGCTCATGAGGAGTGGGCCAGAATACCTGCTGAGAGGTGCACAAGCTCACTGACAGTTACAGAAATCGACAAATCGTTTGATTGCAGTGATTGCCTCAAATGGTTGTGCAACAAAATATTAAGCTAGGGGTACCATCATTTTTGTCCAGGCCTGTTTCATGAGTTAATTTTTTAAATAGTTCTGTTAAATCACAGTTCAAAAGCAATGTCAGATTTTCATTGGTTAATTTTCATAGATTTTGTATTTATTATTACTTTTGTCAGATTCAAGTTATTTCTGTGACCATTGTAGGTTTTTCTTTCATTATCTGAAGGGTACCAACAATGTGTAAGTGGAACGGACCATATCGGGTTCTTCTCACCACACCTCCTGGATACATCGATCTCACTGTAAAAAGGTATTGTGGCTCTCTCCTGATTAGTAGCAGGTCCCAAAGAGCTGCAGCTTTCTTTGTTCAGTTTCTGTGGGGAAGTCTGAGCTACAAAGGAGTGTGGCTCCAACAGGGGACACACTGGCTGTAGCTAGTAGGGAGAAGCCATAAGCATGAGACGAGGACATTTTATTGGTATGGGGCTGTGTGTCCCTTACCTAGGCCCATGTGTGACCTAGTCTCACGCAGTAGCAGATACTTGGTGGGTTTGTGGAAATGTTACAATTCTGTATCCCACACTGTAAACTTAGAGACCAGATTGCTATGGGTTTCACCTCTATCATCTGTCACTGGTGTTTAATTAATATGAATGTAGACTTTATGAACTTTGTCTATTTGCACCCAGATATATCAGAAAAATCTAAGCCCTGTGGCCCTCACTCTCAGCAAGAAGGAGCTTGCAGCGAACGCCCTCCTGACACGACAGATTCGAGCTGGAACTGACTCCTCATGGCTGAAGCAGGACGATTGTGCTGTCACTGCATCCTGTTCTGGGGATGGACAGCAGCCGAGCCAAGTCCTATAGAAGATGAAAGAGCGTTCTGACATGATGCACGAGGCCACAGGAGTAAACACTTCTCCACTTGGAAAGGACTGTTACCGACGATTGAAGGAGGCCTGGTGGTTATGTTGCTGACTCTGATGTGCTGTGGTTGTTGTATTTCTCCCTCTTGTTTGACAATTCTTGTCTAATATGATTTCTACAAATTTACATACTCAAATGAGTCAGGTGTGTTGGAAGAGGGAAACATCTAAAACATACAGGATTGTGGCCCTTGAGGACCAGGATTGGAGACCCCTGGCTTCGAGGTTCTACGCTGTAGTTTTAGCCACAGTACTTGGAGTCAAACATGCTCACTACCCTAGATTCCTGTCAGTACTTTACAGCCACGACCTCAGAGACTGAAGATGTTTTATTTAGACTCAGGTCCAACGCCTGTATTTGTGCTCCTCAATCCCTATGATCTTCGCGTCTTCCCAATTCAAGAGGCTATTGAAATCAGGAAGCGAGGCTCACATACAATCAACAGAGATGATGGAGCGTTCCTTTTATCCCACACCTGGGACGCGCTGCTCCAGAGGCGTGTGGCACATCCACTAGATTTGTCAAATTGGCCATACCTGGGAACAGGTGATAGACGCGTCACACACGTGAGACGACACTTCTGAAAAAAGCGGCAGAAAAGACGCCAAAACATGTCAAGGTACAGCTAACAACTTTATACCATTTGTCGTATTAAAAAGAAATCCTTAAGTCTATTGTATACTGAAGACAAAATGAACATCTTTGCTACATGATGTTTTATTGAGTTGACCTGGTGTACGGGTTTTCTCAGACTGTTTGCACAGTGTGCAGGATGCCAGCTATGTGAGTTGGTCTTTTCTTGGGTAAGGTAGCGTGATAAGAAGAAAATAAATACCGACAGAGCAAATCATTTATGATACATAATCATATAATAACATTATTGGTCCCAAAGGTAAAAACTACAAAGCTACGCAGCAAAAAAGTAGATAAAATATGGAAAATAAATCACCAGTCAATCAAATTTACCAGCCTTAATATTTTAAAAAATGAACTTATTAATGCACCATAATTACGAGCCAATGTTTTTTTTTTTTTTGTACTTTAAGTATTTTTGTTTCCAATAGTTTTGTACTTTTGCTTAAATAAAAATGAAAATGCACTACTTTCTCCTGTACAAGAGTACTTCTGCAGAGTGACCTGTGTACTTTTTCCACCTTTGGTACTCTGACACACCTTTAAATCTCTCACCACTAATCAATGACAGTAGCACCTAACTTTTATTTATATATATATATTTCCCAAATTCGAGAAACAGACGACAGAGAAAAAACATTTTTAAAAAAGAAAAGAAAAAAATAGAAAAGACGCTTGTAGCCCAGAAAACATGCTGCTCCTTTTTTTTTTTTTTTTTTTTTTTTTGTACGATTGCAGAGCAGTGAGGCGTTCAAAGTCCAGGAGGCGTAAACGGAATATCTGGACTCGTGCTGAAGCTCGAGTCTGTCAGTAGTCCTCTGGCAGCAGCTGCAGCACCTCATCACAATGTTTTCATACATTCTGTACATCGCTTTGGCACTTTTGCCGATATTGCTTTACTACTGGAAAAATCCTTACTTTCTCGACGACTTAAGTTACACAATCTCCGCGATAAAAGTCGGCATCCGTCTGAGCAAAAACAGAAAAAACTTTCAAGGTATTTTGGGGCGTTTCTTCGACGACGTGAAGAAGCATCCGCACAAGAAGTTCATAGTTTTCGAGGACGCTTCCTACACGTACATCCAGGCCGATAAGGAGAGCAACAAAGTGGCCAGAGCTCTATCCGCGCATGTGCAGCTGAAGCCGGGGGACACGGCGGCCCTGTTCCTGGGAAACGAACCCCACTTTGTGTGGATGTGGCTCGGACTGGCCAAACTGGGGTGCACGGCGGCTCTGCTCAACAACAACATCCGATCCAAGTCTCTGCTGCACTGCTTCTCCTGCTGCGACGCCAAAGTCCTGATCGTTGGTGCAGGTAAGCTGGGAGGACAAGTGGGACAGAGTTGTCCTGCATGTGTTTATGGGGAGAATTTCAGCTTTTCTGCATGATTCAGCCTATTTGCATGGACTTGAATTTGAAAAATCGAATTTCCCTTCTGGGATAAATAAAGTATTTTCTTTCATTTCATTTCTTTCATTTCATTGCACAAGGGTTTAGAATAGAATAGAATGCTTTATTGTCATCAAACATGGTGCATGACGAAATTTAAGAAAGAAATTTAAGGTTTGCAAACCTGCCACCCCACAAGTAAATGCTTGTATCTCATAAACCTGCATTTAATTTTAGATCTCATTCGATTAACACTTCAGCACACAGGAGTCTTGTGCAGGAATGAAATTAACATTTGCTCTCTAAGGTCACCACTACGTTACATATCCATCCATCTATAGAGAGGCAGATACTTTATTTATTCATTCATTCATTCACAATCAAGGTATCCAGTATATTACATGATGTTACATGCAAGAGAAAAACTGATGGTGCTGGTACAATTAAAAAAACAAACAAAAAAAAGACAGTATTAAAAAATATAAATACTGTAAAACAAACAAACAAATGCAGAAGTGGTGCTTGGTGCACCTTGGATTATATATTTGAAGAGTTCATTTGCAAAAACAGAGAACTCCATCTTCCCAAACCTTCAGAAAAGCCACTTTTCCATCATCTACCTGAGACAACATCAATCAGACTTAAGTTATCTATATTTTAGTCATGTCATTTCCACTGAGTCAAATCCACTCAACTTCAGTTTGATTGATATTATTGTAAGCAAACAACAACAAAAAGTTGTCTGAAAATCTACAAAAATGGAGTTATCTGTTTTTGCAAGTAAACTCTTCACTTATTTCAACAAAAATGCATTGCATGAATAAACTGTCTCATCTGTTGTATTTTGTGGTCAAAAAAATGTGCAAACTGTGCCAGAAAAAGGACACTTTCTCGAACACCTCACACTTTGATTGTCATTTCCGTGACCTTGTTACTTATTGTCCTTATAGTAACTGATTGGCACCATTTCCATCAATCCCCAGTATGTTTGGCATTGTCTTCCCATTTTATTGCCACTGCTCTGACCTTCACCAAGGCCTCACTGGCTCTGCTCTGCTTTCCTCTCTTCTCCCAGACCTGCGAGGGGCTGTGGAGGAGGTGCTGCCCGCCTTGAAGCAGCAGGGCATCCAAGTGTTCATCCTCAGCGAGCACTGTGACGTGGAGGGCATCCAAAGCTTCTCTGATAAAATCCAGCAGGCCTCAGACGAGCCGGTGTCGCCTCAGCTGGCCAACCTTAACCTTAAGAGCCCTGCGCTGTACATTTACACCTCAGGAACTACAGGTAACCTGGCAGGTGTACCTGCAGGCCAGCCAAGAAGATATGAGCGCTGCTGACGTCAGGATTCAAGATACTTTAATGGCTGTTTTTATTGTTCGTTATCTTTACTATCGTGAATCAGGCATAGGATTAGGCTGTTTTGATGTTATGAATCGTACATGAGGGTGATTCATCATTTCAAAACACATACCAGCATGCATATCAGCCTCCATCAAAGCATGGCAGCACATATCATAAACTTCTTTCACTTAAACTCTCTTAAAGCCAAATGATGATGTAAAAGAAGCTAAAGTGTTCCAATTCCTATTATTCATTTTCTTATTCATAGGAATACTGGGAAATATATGCTCCATCAAGTGCTTTATAGATGTTGTATGTGCTGTGTCTGACCAGGGGAGCTCCCTGAAAGCCTTGATAGAGCTCCTACTGTGCATATCTGACCTTGACTTCTAATCTGAGCTTATATTTTCAGCGTTGAGACCTTGAGCGACATAAGTAGGACAATAAAAACTATACTACGTCGGCTTTTAAAGGCAGTGTTATCTTTCAGGGCTTCCCAAAGCCGCTGTGGTCAACCAAGAGAGGGTACTGATGGCATCCTGTCTCCAGTCCATGGCTGGTGTGCGCTCAGACGATGTCGTCTACATTTACCTGCCTCTGTACCACTCTGCTGGTTTCCTGATGGGCCTTTGCGGAGCTATAGACCAAGGTAACTCATGAAACGCTGCCAGCAAGTGAAACCACAAACCCAGATTTAGGCCCTACATCTTTATGATAACATGAAGTTTATTGAAGGTTAAGCCAACAGGTATATGACCTCAAATAACAGGCAGTTTGGCTGCGATTTTTATTGTTTGTATTTCAAAGTCCTAAAGTTCAGTTTACGACACTTGCTGAGCTCGAGACGGCATGTTTGCTGAAATGTGTGTCTCTTCATTTCTAGGCCTCACTGTTATTTTAAGACGTAAATTCTCTGCGTCCAACTTCTGGAATGACTGCAGGAAGCACAATGTGACTGTTATTCAGTACATAGGAGAGATTATGCGCTACCTCTGCAACACACCAAAGGTAAACAGCAGTTTAATGTCACCAACAAGTTTAGTAGCATCCTAAAACCTTTTTTTAAAATTCAATCTGCATGGTCAGAGACATTACTTGTAAAGGTAAAACGTGTTTCTGATTTTTTATTTATTTTTTTGTCCTTCAGAAAGACAATGACAGGGATCATAAAGTCCGGTTGGCTGTGGGAAATGGAATAAGGGCCGACACATGGGCCGACTTCCTGGATCGATTTGGAAACATTCGCATCTGTGAATGCTACGGAGCCACCGAAGGAAACGTCGGCTTTGTCAACTACGTTGGCAAAATCGGAGCAATTGGCAGAGAGCATTTTCTCCACAAAGTAAGAAGAATACAAATGCTGTTTATTTTTTTATTTGCTGCAGGGCAACATTTCACACCAAGAACTTACTGGTTCGGCTGGATTCTGTTGTCGACCATCGACACAGATGCAGATTTTAAACGTGCAAATCAAGGTTTTTTAATTATTTATGACTAATTTCTTTCAGAAAGCAAACCCGTATGCCCTCATAAGGTACGACACAGAGAAAGAGGAACCCGTCAGAGACTCCAGAGGCTTTTGTATTGAAGTCCCAGTAGGTGAGCCAGCCCCCTTAATAATAATGATGGTAATAATAATAATAATACATTTATTTTGTATAGCGCTTTTCAAGATACTCAGTCGCTTAATAGGGGAGAAGATAAAAACAGGAACGAAACAAGTTGAATAAAAAGCAGATTAAAAAACAAAAACACCCTTGTCAATGAGTCCCCCTGTCTACCTTTAAGCTCCCACTGAGAAGTGTGCTGCTTGTTTTTCTGACTTGCAGGAGAGACCGGTTTGTTCGTGGGAAAGATTTCAAAGAGAGCGCCTTTCAGCGGCTACGCCAAGAACAAGCAGCAGACGGAGAAGAAGAAGCTGAAGGACGTGTTTGAGAAGGGAGACCTGTACTTTAACAGCGGCGACCTTCTGAGGATAGATGACGAGGGATTTGTCTACTTTCAAGACCGCATCGGAGACACTTTCAGGTCTGTGGATGAAGCCAGTTGAATTAATTTGATAAGATGCCAGAATAAGTTGGATATGTTGGTTAGGTAGCAGTGTTGAAGGCAGAAAGACAAATCTGGATGAATGCACAAGTCTTGAGGGTGAATAGTTATCAGAATACCTGGAAGGTTTAACAGTCAAGGCGAAGTTAGATTTTCAAAGGGTGACAAGATAATGGGAAGATCAGCAGAGCCTGTCTTAGTAAGGCATTGGGCCATTATGTGAATCAGAACTGCTTCAAT